TGCATCGCACACAATTCCTACCGACGGATTCTAGAACCTATCACAAGTAAAGCTATATAGAAAGTGGGAGGAGGAATTTTTTTAAAGGAGATGGCTGTAGAAAAGAATATACACCCGTAAAGGGAGTATGGGAGTTGCAGTATTATATGTTTTGAAAATTTAAGAGAGAGAGAGAGAGAGAGTATTCTTTATTGTACACCAAAAAAACAAATGAACAGTGCGATACATTAAAAACAAAAAGTACAATTGGCGGTCTTATCGCTAAAAGCGATCTCTTCCAGACAACCATCAGGTGGACAAGAATCATTTGGAAACGAACTACGCGCGGTGTACCATTCCAGTGAAATACATATACATATATNACAAGTCTGACAAACTACTTTGCAGTACATTCATCTTGAAATCAGTAAATATTTAAAACAGGAGAATAACACTTCCCAGCAGGCAGACACTAGTACTTATCACAATAAATGGTCAATTTCTCAAAAAAGACTTTTGTTAATATTTTAAATCAATTTTAACAAATGTGAACGAAAAACTCGTGTGTTTTCTGTGACTACCCGCGCAATATCGCAATACGCGCAATATTTAACGTTGTAATTCGGAAACTTTCGCTACATCGCACGACATTCAAAGCGTCTTATCAAGCAAAACCAAGTTAAAGATCCTCCTGGCTGAGTCCGTGCTCGCCCACCTGTCCTGGTGAAACTGGAAAAGCCAAAGATCCACTACCAATCCTTACTTCCTAAAAAAATCAAGTTAAAGGACCATATCGACGCTTGAAAGGCAAACGTGACTAAGCGACAATAACTGCTTTGTACATAAATGATAGGCAATAACCATATTCTATGCGCAAAAAAATATATATTTCTAGGTCTATTAAAATCATTTCAATCCTTCAGCTAGATTCGTTAAAATATAATTTTTTTCAGGTATTTCTACTTCAAATAAGTCTACTGTAAAGTTCACGCATTGTCGCTTAGTCACGTTTGCCTTTCAAGCGTCGATATAGTCCAGTAATTAAATTATACCCTATAGTCCTTGCAGTTGTATAAAGTTAATTAATATAAAAAACTTATAAATAAACCACGTTAAAATCTCCTATGTTGCTTAATTCAGGAAATTGATTATCTGTCAAGTTTAAGGCGATTGAAAAATAATAATTTACGACTCATTTTGGTTGTGGTTTGACAGTTTAAATAGACGTTACCTTAATGTAAATGAGAAAATGGCTGACGCTTTTGGATGATCAAGGCGGGGATGTAATCAATGCTTCGACTTTCCACGTTGGCATATACGCAGACGAAATTGAAAATCATTTTAATTAAATAAAATTTTAGTGAATTATATCCTTCAAAAAGGACAAAATGGTATGTTAATGAACAGATAAATGACGCATCGAAGTATTTTAAGGATTCGGGTTCACTTCGCCTAACAATGTGTATTTTTCTTATCATTTAGACTTGCGGCTCATACTTGTTTCTCCATTTTTCTTACCTTTCCTTTTTCTTTTTATACTTGTTTTTCTTGTTTCTTTTTATTCTTGTTTTTTCTTGTTTATACTTTTTCTTTCTTTTCTTCTTTTCTTTGCTTCGTGTGGATTGTGAGAGACCTATGTCCAGCAGTGGACGGCATTGGACTGATGATGAATGAAAAAAATATGAATGAACAATACTTGTTTCGACACAAGGCGCTGTGTTTGTACACATTGTAAATTTCGAATTCAAATCAAACTAACAGGGTACCTGCTTGTAATCTTACAACTTCCCAACCAGATTACTGAGGTTGGGGCACGCACGCGTAGGTACGACGCGTAGGTACCAGATGGTAGGGCAGCCGTTGTACTGAGACCTTAGAACTAACGTCTCAAGGTGGTTCGCGAAATTTACTTTGTGGATACCCACGGACTCCGGTAACCACTTAACACCAGATTGGCCGTGAGCTCGGCTAACCGTCTAAGCAATAAATCTCGGTGAATAGATCTCGGTGAGCATATTTACGGCGTGAGAAACAAAATTCCTAGCAAAACAGTTAAAATCTTCTACTTAACACAGATAAAGCCGTGGGAACGTAAACTCATAGAATACGGCAGACTGGGATTATTTCAACTAGAGATGTTATCATAAATTCACATACTCGGAATAAATAAGCGATGCTAAGGGTCGATTCGACCAAACAAGAGTAAATCTTATTCTTAGAATAACTCGTCAGTTAATCGAGAGTAAATCAATTTTACGTTTTACCAACTACAATTCTAAGAATAGTGGGCCTATTCGGGAATTGTTACTATACCGCCGTTTCGCACGGAATAACGGAGCTATTCCTAGAATAAAGTAATGGCGTCTGTCAGTCCAACATCTGATTTCTGTCATTTCATAAATATTTATTCTGTTTTAATTTCAAGTCAACGCAATGCACTAAATGATTATTAATAGTCTGAATGCAACGTTTAAACGAAAAAAGATAAAACCACACGACAAAACTTGACAATTCCCTCAAACAAACAAGAAATAAAAATAATACGTTTGACAGCTGGATATCTTACACAACAGCTACTTTTTCACACTAAAATACGGCAAAATCGAGTTGACGATTTGTATGCTCTTACACTATGCCGTTGAACAACAACATTTATTTGCCGGATTTTATTTTTGTTCACCATTCACTCTGCTATTCGCGTATTGTTATTCCTAGCGCAAGTATACGTGGAAAAACGACTATGAATTTACTCGAGATTAAAATCATGGAATAGGTTATTCCTCGTATAGGTTACTCGAGTTTAAATTTAAGTTTGGTCGAATCCGCCCTAAGAGATGTCCATACCTAATTACAATGTATGATTCTAAAAAACAAATATGACTTGAACAATAAAACTATAAAGATGCATGTTTAATCACATAGTTAATTCTGGCACGTAGCTATTTTGGTTTGAAATGTTGTTACGTAGCTGATTAGGATACTGGTTTGAATAATCGAGATATTTACTGGTGGTAGGACCTCTTGTGAGTCCGCGCGGGTAGGTACCATCACCCTGCCTATTTCTGCCGTGAAGCAGTACTGCGTTTCGGTTTGAAGGGTGGGGCAGCCGTTGTAACTATACTGAGACCTTAGAACTTGTATCTCAAGGTGGGTGGCGCGTTTACGTTGTAGATGTCTATAATATCTATGACGGATAAGTTTTTACGGGATTGTGTTCTTTTAAGTTTGGGGCAGAAACAAGCGGTATGGCAACAGCTTGTGCCGGCAGCCATCTACAAAAAAAACCTCTAAGTTGGAAATTCTTTTTTTCTCCTACCTACGCCGAAAGTTCGGTTTTCCTCCCGCTGTACAGGGAAGAAAGTGTAACTTTTCCTCCCTGGGTACTGACAAGTGCGCATGCGCGTTAGTGTCTACGTCTGCTCTCACGCACCTAAAATTCTCCGGCATTGTTGTGCTCGGGTAATTTGCAATATTGTGTTTAGTGTAAAAGTGAAATAAACAAAAGGCAATAAACTTTAATAGTGGAGTATTGAACAAATATGAGTTCATCAGACCTTATTCAATTAGTAGTAGTTTATTTAAAAATTAAAAACAGTTAAATTGTTTTTTTTACGAGGCTTCGCCCCTGGACCCCGACTCGGTACTCCACGGGTGCTAAGTTTTTTACAATGTCGAATTCGGCCTGGTAGGAAAAAAATAGTATGTGCACCGCGGGAAAAAAGTAGGACATCTCATCCCCCGTGTTTGCCAATTGCAATTTTACACGCGGGAGGAAATGTCCAAATTTTCTCCCTTGGTGCACAATGAACTATTCAGTTTTTTTCAAGCGCTAACGTTTTGTGGTTTATTCGCGATCTATTGACATTGTTATTAAAAAGGGCGACAGTCGTTTTTTTATTAGGCGTACATAGCATATATACATATATAGTCCGTTCCTGACAAAATTGTTTCACATTCAGAAAGCTAACGATCAAAATTCAGTGCCTGAACACAGAAATTAAAAAAAATCATAACTCGAAAGCTATCAAAAGTCGCGAAGCATACGGGGGAGTAATTCGGATAGCTCTACTGATGCTCTACCTCTGGACTTCGGTTTGACACTTTTTTTGGGACACCCTGTATAGCGATGCAGGTTTGCATGATTGTTTGTTTGTGGTCTATGCGGCGACAAAAAAAACGCTTAGCGAATTTGATAACAGATAGCATTTTTTATCTTCTATATAATATGTAAAAATGAATTGCTGTTCGTTAGTCTCGCTAAAACTCGAGAACGGCTGAACCGATTTGCCTAATTTTGGACTTGAATTATTTGTCGAAGTCCAGAGAAGGTTTAAAAGGTAAATAAATACGAAAATGCTCGGAATTAAATAAAAATAACAATTTTATTTTTCTTTTGATGTGTCGTCCCCCGTCGAACGGATTCCTTTTGTTTGTTTTAAGTTTATTTAATACAAAAGCTTAGGTCTTTTGTTTATCGATTGAGGCACTACGAAGTCTGCCAGGTCAGCTAGTTTACTAGTAAATAATTTTATGCGTAGGCACTCTGTAATTAATACCGTAATTACAGCGTTGCCATTTCACTGAGATTAACGATACACCACACAAGTTAAACTCTTTTGTTTTAATGATTCACGCGTCACGCTCGTAATTTTGTGGCACTACATATATAAGAAGCTTTTTAAATAATTATCTGTATTCGGACTAATGGTTAAGACATTGGATTGTGGATCGGCACAGGTAGATACAACAACCACGCCTGTTTTCAAAAGCAAACTGGAGTGTGAATTGAGTCAAGCTGGGAGAGAAGGTGGCTTGGTAGATCTTCACTAGTATTTTTTTATTGCCCTTTTTGGCAGACGAGCATACGGCCCACCTGATGGTAAGTGGTTACCGTCGCCCATGGACTTCAGCAATGCCAGGAGCAGAGCCAAGCCGCTGCCTACCGAGGTATGAGGCGGATAGTGAGATCTTAAAGGTCAGCAGGAATAATCAAATACGAATTTATTGTTGCAGACATCAAAATGGTGATCGGAGCCAAAATAACGCTGCAGAACATGCCAAGCAAAGGGCATGTGTCTCTCCTCAGGTTACAGAGTTTCACAGTGGAGAAACGACGTAAGTACCGTTCTTCTTCTTTGTCGTTTCCTCATTACTGAGGGACGTGACCACCTTGGTCCAGTTTTTGCACCAGCTTCCTCCAATGTTGCCTGTATTCGGCCTGCTTAATGGCGCCCGGGACGCTGGTGTTTGTGGCCTCCTTGATAATGTCCACCTGGTTGGCAATCTTCCTCGACTTCTCTTTCCTTCCTTTTAAAATCTGTCACATGTGCTACACGACACAATACACTTTATTGCACTGACATTTTTTTTTATTGCCCTTGTAGGCAGACGAGCACACGGCCCACCTGATGGTGAGTGGTTACCGTCGCCCATGGACTTCAGCAATGCCAGGCGCCGAGCTAAGCCGTTGCCTACGCTTAATACTCTCCACAAGCCTCGTTTGATGAAGGACAAGTCATAGCGCTCGGGAAAAACCGTGGAGGGGAGCTCATTCCAAAGCCGGATGGTACGTGGCAAAAAAGGATATCAAGAGGTGAAAGGCTATTTGGTTTCAGCGAAATTTTTGCAGGAAAACCATTTTAAGTATATTACAATGTAAAAAAAAACGTCCTACTAAAAACGTCTTCGGCTATTTGAATGGGGTAAACTTAATTGAAGTTCAAAGCAATTAATTAAAGAGCGGGTGGTTAGCGTGGTGTGGACATGTGATGCGTAGAGAGGAGATGCATGTGTCTAGGAGATGTATAGTAATGGTAGTGAATATAAATGAAATTGTTTTTTTTTTTAAACATTTTCTACGTGATCTACATTATTAATACTATAGCCACTTTCCGGATTGATATACCCTTTGTGGAACACCCTATTTTTGTATAATAATGTAACTTTTTTTTTTATTGCTTAGATGTGTGGACGAGCTCACAGCTCACCTGGTGTTAAGTGGTTACTGAAGCCCATAGACATCTATAACGTGAGACCTTAGAACTTATATCTCAAGGTGGGTGGCGCATTTACGTTGTAGATGTCTATGGGCTCCAGTAACCACTTAACACCAGGGAGCCATGACCTCTTCTACCCATCCAAGCAATAAAAAAATAAAAAATAAAAACATGACCTCCTCAGTGGGTTGCGATTCCGATCCGGTGGAAGATTTTGCGAAGCACTGCTTTTGCTAGGACTAGTGTTAGCAAATTCTCTCAGGTTGATCCCGTGAGCTCACCTACCCGTCCGCGAGAATCTGGAATAGTCCCATAAGCTACCAGAGAATAGGTATGGGAAAAAATTGATAATTTGAAAATTTAAATTTATTTTATTCCAATTTTCACATAATTACTTTGAAGTTAGTATGATTTCAATATTCCATTGTAAAGTTGTTCCTAAATAAACTAACATTTCTAAACTTATTAAGAAAATCGTTACACACTGAATTCGTTGCGCCCTAAATGATAAGACGCTGCTTCCCGACTTCATCAAATGCTAGTGAACTCTAAAAATAATTCATAACACGTTCATACCGAATTTGTTGAAAAAAAGTCTCGAACGCAATGTTTCCAAAACTTAAACCACAAATTTTTGTTTAGTTATTAAACAAAACAAAAACTTATGATATGTAATCAAGCGCAGCGGGCAAAAAAACTAGGTAAAAACATATGTGTGTACAGTGTGTAGTTGTAAATAATATGAGGAGGAGGAATCTGAGGAATTGTTTGAGATGATACCATCAGCTCCTTTTTACCATCGCACCGCCCGCCATCGGAGTAGAGTTCATCCATACTACCTGGAGCCACTGCGTTCATTCACAGTGCGTTTCCAGAGATCTTTTTTGCCACGTACCATCCGGCTTTGGAATGAGCTCCCCTCCACGGTGTTTCCCGAACGCTATGACATATCTTTCTACAGACGAGGCTTGGGAAGCTTAACGGTAGGCAGCGGCTTGGCTCTGCCCCTGGTATTCTGAAGTCAATGGGCGACGGTAACCACTGACCATCAGGTGGGCCATATGCTGGTCTGCCCACAAGGGCAATAAAAAAATGTAACATTTTTAACATTAGGTTTGTGGAAGTTGGGTCCAGTAGTTGCTTAATAGTACTAGTAAGCTAAATCTAACAGCTTATCTTATAACACTGGAAAGCTGATCGGTTTTAAAATGTTATCACAAAATATAGACAATTTGAAGTGATGTAAAGTGAAGTCGTGAAATAGACATAGACACCTCAACGTGAATGCCCATATACATCTTAACATGAGATCGAAGCTACAATTGAATAATCTAGAATACCTCACTCTTTAGACTAATTCGATGGTGTTTGACTAATTCCCACACCGGGAAAAAATTTATGTAAATAAGAGGTTTGTTTGCTCTTTATATATTATACCCGTGTCTTCGGATGAATTAATGGGCAGACTCTTATCGTATCAGATCTCTGACCGATTATAATCATTAGTTTGAAAATAATGTGTTTTTTTTTTATTTCAGACTCATTAATAAAGCTGTCGTATGGATCACTTCTGATTTTGACTGCAATTGTTTTGGTGGCCATCAATCCGATTCAGTTGATCTCTGACGGGGTGAGTGAGTGAAATTCTGTAATTATTTCGACGGGTTGAAAGGCAGTTTGATTTAAGCTACATTTATGCGATTTTCAGGAGAGCCATTTAAAGTTTAAAATTTGGAAAAAATATCATGACAAAAAAACTTCTTCTTTAGTTATTTGAATGTGGTAGACATAATTGAAGTTCAATTAAAATATCGAACTGTTGATGCTTATCACTACACAGTATAAAACAAAGTCGCTTTCCCTGTCCCTATATCTGTTTTTCCCTATGTATGCTTAAATCTTTAAAACTACGCAACGGATTTTGATGCGGTTTTTTTTAATAGATAGAGTAATTGAAGAGAAAGGTTTATATGTATAATAACATCCATTAAATAGTTGAGAAATCAATAATAAATTACAGTTTCCGAAGCGAAGCGAGGGCGGGTCGCTAGTACCAAATATAACGCAACTTTAATTACAAAGATAAATGTCGCGTATTAAGCAAAATGTCGCTTAACCTAAAAAAGTCCTTTCACCCATCGATTTCCAATGTATAAGCACATTCTAATAAATTCGTTTTGTTATATTGAAAATATATGTTTCCAACTTCTACCTAGCATTTATCGACACCATTGTGATTGCGACTTGGACACGGCAGAGCATACGCTCGTCGCCTGCCCCGCATGGTAGGGGTGGCGCCCTGTCCTCGTCGCAAAAGTAGGAAACGACTTGTCGTTGCCGAGTGTTGTGGCATCGATGCTCGGCGACGAGTCGTGGAAGGCGATGCTCGTCTTCTGCGAGTGCACCATCTCGCAGAAGGAGGCGGCGGGGCGTGTGAGAGACGCACAATCCCGCCGCCGTCGAGCGGGGGCCAGGGAGGCGGATCTCGCCCTGGCCCTCTAAGTGTTTCGGGTCCCCCCTCACATGTCGGTCTGGGGACTGGCGAGGGGGGCCTAAGAAGACGACGTGCAAGCTGCTCTGCACGCGTTTTACGCAAGAGCATCCGGGTGATGGAAGGCTGGCTATCCTCGACCCACGCTGGTTCTGGTCCAGCGGGGTATTCCGTAGGATAGCTCACTCTAACCGGCGCCATCTAGGCGGGCTTCGGATAGCCTGCCGACCGAGAGGGCTGGTGGTCGTGGCGCCGACGACCGCCGGTCCGGCGTCCCGAGGGGGAGGGTGATGGGAGAGATGTGCTCCGCACTAAACGCTTCACTTTCCCCCCTTTGCCTCTTCATGAGTTCTGTCTCATGCGAGGTTTGGACGTTGGTTGTTTATAAGTTATATAGTCTGTTATGTACTTAGTATTATAATTAGCATAGGGCTGGATAGGGCAGGGCTATCTTGTCTCTATTCGCGTAAATCTAGAAAATTCGTATAAATTCGTTTAAAAATGCATTGGTTTTTTTTAAATGCGCTTTTTCAGTCAGTCGAGTTTCTTTTAGACTTATTGAATATTTACGTCTATTTGGAGTTATTTTTCTAAATAAATAACTTTCATCACCTTACATCTTAACAAAACAGTAAAATATTCATGAAAATAACACTTTTAATAGCGGTTATTAAATATTAGCGTTGACTATAAATAATATTATTTTGAAAACGTAACACCCTATTTTATAATAATTGGTTTGGTTAAAAGACGCGTTTTTGGACACGTGACTCAAGCAGAGCTTGTAATTGAGACTGAGAAACATTCGGCGAACTGCAATTATGCACGAGAATTAGACATGCGTTTGAGAACACTCAGTCTTTATTGTACTGTGATAAATATTTAGAACTTACCGCAGGCAGACATGTATAATCTCTATATATAAAAATGAATTGCTGTTCGTTAGTCTCGCTAAAACTCGAGAACGGCTGGACCGATTTGGCTAATTTTGGTCTTGAATTATTCGTGGAAGTCCAGAGAAGGTTTAAAAGGTGAAAAAATACAAAAAATCTCGGAATTATATAAAAACAAACAATTTTATTGTTCCTTTGATGTGTCCCCTTGATCTGTCTTTTATTTATCGATTGAGGCACTACGAAGTCTGGCGGGTCAGCTAGTATACTATAGATATAATTATATACCTAATATGACTTGTTTACGTACCCAAACGAAGTATATAGACAATATTATGGAGTAAAATGAACTGTTAATATTTTTAAGTTTGCGTAATATTGGTAAAGTTAATATTTTTTATAATTATGCATAAAAATACATTAAATCAATAAATAAAACATTACACACACTACTATATATCTTTGTTTATTGTCAAACTTTTGTTATTGTTTAAAGTCTGTGGTCAAATTGAGAATAGATTAACATTGTTTGTCTTTAATAATATTACTAGACGATGACCGAGCTTTGCTCCGTTTTTTTTTTGATAACGCCATCTTGTTGTGTCTTTAAAGCGGTTAGTTGCTCTCAATTAAGAAAAAATTATTATATTATTATTCGCCAATAGATGTCGGGAAGAGTTGATTATTGAAAACACGAATAACCAAAAATTTTCTGAAAATAAATCGTAGCTAGATCGATTTATCGCCCCCGAAATCCCCTGTATACTAAATTTTATGAAAATCGTTGGAGCCGTTTCCGAGATTCAGATTATATGTATATTAATATACAAGAATTGCTCGTTTAAAGGTTTAAGATTTGTCTAAGTGTAGTCTGGGCGAAATCTGTGATTATAGAAGTAAAATAAATAGTCTTTGAAAATAGAACCATAATAATTTAATGTTCAAGCTTATAATTTCAATTAATTATTGTCGAATTTCGACTACAGGAGGACCAGTAGTCATCATAAATGGTCAATGTCATTTCGTGATTATCAGTTTATAGGGATAATGTCGGTGTCCGCTCGACAGAGGGTCTGAATGTCGTTGATCTTGTTCAAGTGTGTGTTTTTGTTAGTGTCATTAGAACAATTCAGGTTCTCGTTAGATTTCATCTGCTACATCGGGTCCAGCTTTAAAGTAAAGTAATATTTTACGAGTTATTTTTGTCGCTGACAAAATTTTCGATTTAGACAACAGTTAAAATTTACCATTTCATATTTATCTCTTTATTTTCATTGTATTCGTGTATCGAAAAAGTTTTAGATCCAGTAAAACAAGAGCAGACCGATCATACTTTTGCTTTACAAGACTTTTGCTTTATAAAGCACAAGTCCGGCCTCGCGTGGAGTATTGCTCCCATCTCTGGGCCGGGGCTCCCAAATACCAGCTTCTTCCATTTGACTCCATACAGAAGAGGGCCGTTCGGATTGTCGATAATCCCATTCTCGCGGATCGTTTGGAACCTCTGGTCTGCGGAGGGACTTCGGTTCCCTCTGTATTTTGTGCCGTATGTTCCATGGGGAATGCTCTGAGGAATTGTTTGAGATGATCCCTTCATCTCCTTTTTATCATCGCACCTCCCGCCATCAGAGCAGAGTTCATCCGTATTATCTGGAACCGCTGCGTTCATCGACAGTGCGTTACCAGAGGTCTTTTTTGGCACGCACCATCCGGCTATGGAATGAGCTCCCCTCCAGATTATTTCCCGAGCGCTATGACATGTCCTTCTTCAAAAGAGGCTTGTGGAGAGTATTAAGCGGTAGGCAGCGGCTTGGCTCTGCCCCTGGCATTGCTGAAGTCCATGGGTGACGGTAACTACTCACCATTAGGTGGGCCGTATGCTTGTCTGCCTAGTGCCTACAAGGGCAATAAAAAAAAAACTCCTTAATGTAGTTTTTTAAGGCCAATTTATAACTATCTTCAAACCTACGTCATAGCTTCGAATCAATCAAATAATTACAGGTTTTTCTTTACAACAAAAAATATGATATCGCGCACATATTAAAACTGGAATTAAAATGTAATTATTATTTTTTACATTTAAACGGTATGTTAATTAGTTTGGTCTATAATTTTTATTATGTTATTCTTATTTATAGGTAATATTTTTTACGTAATATTAGTTTTGGGAGGTCCATTTGTGACGTATTACTTAATTCCACGATAAATCTGTCCTTATTATAAAAAGCTGGTGGTAACCGGTAGCCTGGTAAAATCTTAGCTAAATATGTTCAGTATTCGCGTTTTGGTCTAGTATCGCTATATCAATATATTAATACGTGAAGCAAAAACGACGTACCCCTTTTTACGAAAATTGCGCGGACGGAGGAGTATGAAATTTTCCACACTTAAAGGGAATATAGAGAAGAAGTGCACAATGCTAATATTTTTTTAAAATAATGTATAAAAGATACATTAAATCAATAAAGAAAACGTTACACACACTACATACCATGTATTTGACGCACACACGCATGCATACTATTGTCAAACTTTTGTTCTTGACGTCTGTTGTCAAATTGAGAATAAATTAAATATTGTTTGTCTTGTTAATATTTTTTATAGTGTAGTCTTGGCGAAATTTGTGATTATAGAAGTATAAATTACAATCATAATATTGTACAAACTTACAATTCCAATTAATTATAGTCGAATTTCGACTACTGCGGGACCTCTAGTAATAATAATTGTAAATAGACATGCTTTAACAAAAACCGACTTCAAATAGAAAAAAAAGATATTCCAAAATAAATTAATACACACTAAAAACAATAATCATCGAAATCGGTTGGCGTGATATTGAGTTATTGAGTTATTCATCTATTTGTCGCGCACGTACTTAATGCAAATTTAAAACTTATATGTTTTTCTCATGGACACCATTATCAGGAATGGACTAAATTGAAATGGGACCACACGGGAAGTGTTAGCTTTCTAATAAATAAAAAATCATCAAATTCGATTCACCCAGTCAAAAGTTATGAGGTAACAAACATAAAAAAAAATATACAGTCGAATTGACAACCTCCTCCTTTTTGAACTCGGTAAAAAAATAAGGAGGACTGCCTTAACAAAATAAAAATAAAAACTTTAAGCACGCATTGACGTACTTCGACATTTTATTACCATAAAAAATACACAGGTAATATTAGAGACCAATAAAATTAAAAAAAAAAAAAATAAGCTCATAAACTCGTTCGTTTTTTA